CTCTTGTTAACCCAAGTGTGATCATTGAACCAGCAACATCAGCATCACCTGGAAACTTCTCAGAAATGTAGACTATCACACCCTACCCTCAGACCTACTGAATCAGACAAGCCCAGAGAGATTGATATGCACACTAAAGTAGAGAGGTGCTGACTTAGGCCATATTCATATACTGGTATAGAGTATACTCAAATTTGTAATTTGAAGAAACCTACAAAACATGAAGTACTCTCCTTCCAATTCTGGGGGCAGAGAAGGATTGTATAACACATTTTATTTTGTTTTTAAGCGGGTGAATGGCTAAAACTTGATTGCTCCAATAAAATGTCTGACAATTTAAAAATTACACGTGTTAGGGAGAAATCTTGTTTTTACCTGGGATCATGCCTATAATCTAAGCACTTTGGGAAGTTGAGGCAGGAGGATCACTTGAGGGCAGGATTTTGAGACCAGCATGGTCAACATTAAGATCTCATCTCTACAAAAAATTAGCCAGGCATGGTGGCACACATCTCTAGTCCCAGTTACTTGGGAGACTGAGGCAGAAAGATTGCTTTAGCCTAGGTGTTCAAGGTTGCAGTGAGCTATGATGATGCCACTGCACTGTAGCCCAGGCAACAGAGCATGACCCTGGGAGAAAGGGAGAAAGGGAGAAAGGGAGGGAGGGAGGGAGGGAGGGAGGAAGGAAGGAAGGAAGAAAGGGAAGAAGGGAGGGAGGGAGGAAGGAAGGAAGGGAGGGAGGCAGCAGTACAGCATCACTGTCTTGCAATTTAACTTGTAATTTACTAATGTCTCAAGATAAAATAAAAGCAAATTTAAAAACAAAAATGCCCTTTTTAAAGAAATAATGAAAATTATCTTGTGAAACATACCATTTTCTTCCAAAAATATATTCATTCCATTCACAATTTCTCCTGTTTCTTCTTAACGTGTCATTCATTTCTATGATCTAAATTATAAAACATGATTAAAATACAAGAAAGTTCTTAAATGTAAAGTAAGTTCAACATTAAAGATTATATTAAATTGCGAATCATTACTTTGTCTTATTAAGCATCTGGATGTAAATCTTACCTAGAAAATTATATTTGAATATTTAAGTCCTTTATAAATAAAAACTATTTTCAGTTAAGGAACAACTAGCAACTTTAGGTTGGCTTCAAAAAGACCTCAGATACAAGCACAGATTAAAATTATTATTACATAACATGGTCCTCAATATCCATTAAAACTTAAAAATGTCTTTTGGAGGCTGGGCGTGGTGGCTCATGCCTGTAATCCTAGCACTCTGAGAGGCCCAGGTGGGAGTATATTTCAATGACATACCATGTACTTCTTTGAACTACCATCTTCGCTTATAGTTCTGTTCTTCTTCCTTGGGAAAATAAAAATGTAACATTAAGACCAGTCTTACATGTAGGTGAGAGTAGGCAGTTTTTTCCAAATGGCAAAAATACATCTCTATATTGCCCAAAACTCCATCCATTAGAGGTCAATTCAGGTAACTAATTCCTTTTAAATCTAAATATTCCATTCATTCATATTATAGTTTTCCCCCTTTATGACAGAATGGATCTTTTTTTATTTATTGATATATATTACTTCTATCTAATTCCTTTTCCTTTAACGCTTAACTAAGATCAACCAATTAAGGGAAAGGGAGGTATAATGGTGGTTAGAAAAGAGAAACAAACAAACAATCTGGAAATATTTAGACCCCTATGGAATGCAGGAGAAAAGTATAGAGACAGCAGCACTAAGTACAAGGAACCTAGAGAGCCATGACACAAAGGAGGATAACAAAATACATGTTTTTTGCCTAGGCAAATATCAGAATCTTGCTGTTATGAAAGTCAAGATAAAATAAAATAAATTTAAAGCATCTTTGTGTCTACACTGCATAAACTCAACATTTTTGTTAAGGCAGTCTTTGTATCCTCTAAATCACTAACACATTTTACTGGCAAATATCAGAACTAGAAAATGGGGAAAAATATATGCTTTAAAATTTTTTTCAATTTAAGTTTAGAAATAACATATTTTATACCTCAAATGTCAAATTCTTCAAGCTCTCTAAAGAAACTTCTTCTATGTTTAAAGACAAAATGAACATGAGATGACTAAAGCACTTAGACATAACATAAATGGAATTTTAGCAGTATAATTTATCTGACCTTTCTCTATTCTTATTCATCCTAATTCATCTTAAATATGATTTAAAAATATATTCCAATGTATTCTGATTGTTTTACTTTCCTATTTAAAACTTTTAGCTGTTCTTACCAAAGTTGAAAATCTTATAGCCTGATATTCAAGTCCTCTCAAGATTTGTCCCCAGTGAACTTTTAATCTTATTTCCCATAACTCTTTCCTTGGAGAGCATGGAAAGTAAGACCAACATTGGTCTGTTAATATCTGCAGACTTGGAATTGAAGAAAGAAGAGCTAAATAGAATGTTATCATTCAAATATGAATATTATAGATTGCCTTCTGGGTTAGTGACTATGCTAGGTGATAAAGATAAACAGAGTGAACTATGTAAGGAAGTAGTGGACTAGGGGTACACGTGACCTGTGAAATACGAGCTACATTAGCCAAGGGAGTGCCTGTGTCACCCCTCCCCCAACTCCAGCCAGTACAGCTCAGTGACAGACTCCTTTTGCTTGGGGGTAGGAAAGGGAAGATGATTACAGAGAACCTAGTCTTGCAACTTGGGTACCAGCTCAGCCACAATAAAATAAAGTATGAAGTAGATTCCTGAAGCCCCTGATTTCAGGCCTTAATTCCTGGATGGTATTTCTAGACCTACCCTGGTCCAGAAGGTAATCTACTACCCTGAAGAGAAGGACGCAGTCCTGGCAAGATTCACCACCTGGCGATTAAAGATCCCTTGGGCTTTGAATAAACATCAATGGTACCCAGGCCATAGTTGCCATAAGCTTTGGGCGGGACGCTAGTACTTTGCTGGCTTCAGGTTGATACAACACAGTCCCAACTGTAGTGTCCATAGGAGTACCTGCATCCTCCTACCCCAACTCCAGGCAGCCCAGCATGGAGAGTGAGACTCCTTCTGTTTTGGGGGAAAGTGAAGGAAGAGTACAAGAGAGTTTGCTTGGTAATCCAGGGAATTCTCCTGTATCTAACCCAAGCTCACCATGGTGGTATGACCAGGAGTCTGCAAAAGTTGCAGTGTTATTGGCCTTGAGGCTCCCCCTAGTGCTGATATGGCTGCGGTGATAAAAGACTTAAACATCACAACACTCAATTCCCTTTGACTACCTGGAAAATCTTCCCAAGAAGGATGGGTACAATCAAGTCCTGACTGGAAAGATGAGAATAGATACCTAACTCTTCAATGCCCAGACACTGATGAACATCCATAAGCATCAAGGACATCCAGAAAAACATGACCTCACCAAATGAACTAAATAAGGCACCAGTAACTAATCCCGGAGTGATGGAGATACACAACCTTTCAGACAGAGAATTCAAAATAGCTGTTTTGAGGTGAACTTCAAGACAACATAGAAAAGGAATTTAGAATCCTATAGGAAAAATTTAACAAAGAGATTGAAATAATTTTTTAAATGACCTTCAACATAGAAAAGGAATTCAGAATCCTATAGGAAAACTTTAACAAAGAAATTGAAATAATTTTTTAAAATCAAGCAGAAATTCTAGAGATGAAAATGCAACTGATGAACTAAAAAATACATCATAGTCTCCCAACAGCAGAATTGATCAAGTGGAAGAAAGAATTAGTGAGCTTGAAGGCAAGCTATGTGAAAATACACAGAAGAGAAAAAAGAATGAGGAAGAATGAAGCACGCCTACAAGATCTAGAAAATGGTCTCAAGAGCAAATCTAAGCATTACTGGCCTTGAAGAAAAGGAGAGATTGTAGTATAAAGTTTATTCAGAGAAATAACAGAGAACTTTCTAAACCTAGAGAAAGATATCAATATTCAGGTACAAGAAGGTCATAGAAAACCAAGCAGATTTAACTCAAATATGACTACCGTTAGGCATTAAGTAATCAAATTCCCAAAAGTCATAGATAAAGAAAGGATCCTAACAGCAGAAAGAGAAAAGAAACAAATAACATATAAATGTGGTTCAATACATCTGGCAGCAGACTTCTTACTGGAAACCTTACAGGCCAGGAGAATGGCATGACATATTCAAAGTGATGAAGGAAAAGTACTTTAATCCTAGCACATTACATCCTGCAAAAATATCCTTCAAACATGAAGGAGAAATAAAGACTCTCCCAGACTAAAAAGCTGACAGGCTGGTAGATAACAGATGAGAAAGCGCAACAGTGAAATGAAGGAACACACACACGTGCACATATACACATACATACACACTGGGCCATAGAAAAAAGGATTTCAAAATTATTACAGAAAAAGGTTTGACTCCACCATCAAAGACTCTCAAGGAGACCATAGATCAAGAAAGAGTAGAGGCTGCAAAACCATTTATTATCCCATTTCTGACATATAGTCACCAATTATCTCAATGAAATAATAATGTGGTAGTTTAGGAAACACATGAGTTAATAATTTCCAAGAAATTTATAAGAAGGGAAGAAGATCACATAAGGGGAATACAAAACAGAATTAATTGATACACATGAAAGTACTTTGTAAACTGCTGAGATCTATACCAATGATACTATCTCCAATCTATAAAAATTGTGTGAGGTTAGCCCAGAATGAGAACTGACTTATAAAACATACTTGAGGCAATGAAATAAACCTTTAAAATATGCTTAAAGCAATAAGATGAGCAAAAAAAGGCCCATTTGTTACAAATGATATGTAACTCTCAGGAAGCTGATAGAGACAAAATAGTACAGATAAAGTTCTATTTTGCTTCCTTTTTCTTGCTATGTAGAAAAACTCAGATGATTCCGAAATATAAATCTATATGCCTTATGCCTTATATTTTTAAAAAAGTTAGAAATCTAAAAGAAATTCTTATATTTCAATGACATACCATGTACTTCTTTTGAACTACCATCTTCGCTTATAGTTTCTGTTTCTTCTTCCTTTGGGGAAAATAAAAAATGTAACATTAAGACCAGTCTTACATGTAGGTGAGAGTAGGCAGTTTTTTCCAAATGGCAAAAATACATCCTTATATTGCCCAAAACTCCATCCATTAGAGGTCAATTCAGGGTAACTAATTCCTTTTAAAATCTAAATATTCCATTCATTCATACTATAGTTTTCCCCCTTTATGACAGAATGGATCTTTTTATTATTTATACTGATATATATTACTTCTATCTAATTCCTTTTCCTTTAACGCTTAACTAAGATCAACCAAATTAAGGGAAAGGGAGGTATAATTGGTGGTTGGAAAAGAGATAACAAACAAACAATCTGGAAATATTTAGACCCCTATGGAATGCAGGAGAAAGTATAGAGACAGCAGCACTAAGTACAAGGAACCTAGAGAGCCATGACACAAAGGAGGATAACAAAATACATGTTTTTTTGCCTAGGCAAATATCAGAATACTTGCTGTTATGAAAGTCAAGATAAAATAAAATAAATTTAAAGCATCTTTGTATCTACACATGCCATAAACTCAACATTTTTGTTAAGTGCAGTCTTTGTCATCCTCTAAATCACTAACACATTTTACTGGCAAATATCAGAACTAGAAAATGGGGAAAAATATATGCTTTAAAATTTTACTTTCAATTTTAAGTTTAGAAATAACATATTTTTATACCTCAAGAATGTCAAATTCTTCAAGTTCTTCTAAAGAAACTTCTTCTATGTTTAAAGGACAAAATGAACATGAGATGACTAAAGCACTTAGACATAACATAAATGGAATTTTAGCAGTATAATTTTTTTTTTTTAACAGTTTTTCAGCAGATAAGCAGTATAATTTATCTGACCTTTCTCTATTCTTATTCATCCTAATTCATCTTAAATATGATTTAAAAATAATATTCCCAATGTATTGTTCTGATTGTTTTACTTTCCTATTTAAAAACTTTTAGCTGTTCTTACCAAAGTTGAAAATCTTAATAGCCTGATATTCAAGTCCTCTCAAGATTTGGTCCCCAGTGAACTTTTAATCTTATTTCCCATAACTCTCTTCCCTTGGAGAGCATGGAAAGTAAGACCAACATTGGTCTGTTAATATCTGCAGACTTGGAATTGAAGGAAGAAAGAGCTAAATAGAATGTTATCATTCAAATATGCAAATATTTATAGATTGCCTTCTGGGTTAGTGACTATGCTAGGTGATAAAGATAAACAGAGGTGAAACTATGTAAGAAGAAATAAGTTTTTAAATAGCACTAAAATCATTCTTTATGAAAGAAGTAGTGCTCAAGGGAGAGCACCTTAAGAAACTATTGTAGGGAGCAATATCTAGATAAACCATGGCATGAAACAAAGTTAAAGAATATTAATTGCTTTCTCACTCATAGTTTGATTGCATGAGTAAGGTGAGAAAGGAAAATCCTCGTGATTATGTTGCAGAGCAACAGATCTGTAAACAATCCTCAAAAGTACTCTTATCCTCAATCTCAAATGCATGACTCAAATATAAATTAATACAAGAACATTTTAATAAAAAAGCTACATGAGTAAATTTAATTATAAAAACCCAAGACTATAATATCATTTGTATGAAAATTTCAGATGAATCTGCAACCCCTATACTGATCATTTTCTAGAGACCAAAAAGACATTTCAGTAATAAAACTCAAATTAGCATAATGTAAAAGTTCTATTTATCTATATCTGCATAACAAACTATCCCCAAATGAACTAGTCAAACAACTCTTTCATGGTTCTAGGGGCAGATCAGTTCATTTCGGTGGTTTTCACTTGGGCTATCTCATAGAGTTGTAATCAGATGGCAGCTGAGAGTTATTTGAAGGCGTTTTTTACTCAATGTCTGGCACCTGAGCTGAGATGGCTGGAATAACTGGGAATAGTTCAAGCATCTCTTTCTCCACATAGCCTCTTTCCCTGGCTAGCTTGTGCCTTCTCACATAATGGCAGACCCCAGGTAGACTGACTTCTTACAAGGTGATTGGCAACCATTTCAAGATAGCCAGGAAAGTTGCAAGGCTTCCATGACTAAAACTTGGAAGTTGTATAGCATCACTTCTTCTATAATGTAATGGGCAAAGTAACCATAAACTAGTTCAGATTCAACTGAGTGGAGGAATAGATTCCACCAGAAAAGGGAGAATGTCTGTGTGTACAAAAAGAGAAGAAATGATGGTGGAGGCAGCTACCTCAGTAACATTTTTCAGAATATATAAATCTGACTTCTTAAATAAATAATGTCCTGTAAAAACCATAAACCTGACTTTCCAAAGAGAAGATCATAAACAGCTTCATAAATCTGATTATTTTATTTTCAGTGTATATTTGCATTAAAAATGTATGTGTATTCTATTTTGAAAACCTGGCATTTGGCCACAGGATTATGTGCACTCTTGTTAACCCAAGTGTGATCATTGAACCAGCAACATCAGCATCACCTGGAAACTTCTCAGAAATGTAGACTATCACACCCTACCCTCAGACCTACTGAATCAGACAAGCCCAGAGAGATTGATATGCACACTAAAGTAGAGAGGTGCTGACTTAGGCCATATTCATATACTGGTATAGAGTATACTCAAATTTGTAATTTGTAATACTCAAATTTGAAGAAACCTACAAAACATGAAGTACTCTCCTTCCAATTCTGGGGGCAGAGAAGGATTGTATAACACATTTTATTTTGTTTTTAAGCGGGTGAATGGCTAAAACTTGATTGCTCCAATAAAATGTCTGACAATTTAAAAATTACACGTGTTAGGGAGAAATCTTGTTTCTTACCTGGATCATGCCTATAATTAAGCACTTTGGAAGTTGAGCAGGGAGGATCACTTGAGGCAGGATTTTGAGACCAGCATGGTCAACATTAAGACTCATCTCTACAAAAAATTAGCCAGGCATGGTGGCACACACTCTAGTCCCAGTACTTGGAGACTGAGCAGAAAGATCGCTTTAGCCTAGGTGTTCAAGGTTGCAGTGAGCTATGATGATGCCACTGCACTGTAGCCCAGGCAACAGAGCATGACCTGGGAGAAAGGGAGAAAGGAGGGGAGAGGAGAGAAGAAGGAAGGAAGAAGGGAAGGAAGGGAGGGGAGGGAGCAGTACAGCATCACTGTCTTGCAATTTAACTTGTAATTTACTAATGTCTCAAGAAAATAAAAGCAAATTAAAAACAAAAAATGCCCTTTTTAAAGAAATAATGAAAATTATCTTGTGAAACATACCATTTCTTCCAAAAATATATTCATTCCATTCACAATTTCTCCTGTTTCTTCTTAACGTGTCATTCATTTCTATGATCTAAATTATAAAACATGATTAAAATACAAGAAAGTTCTTAAATGTAAAGTAAGTTCAATATAAAGATTATATTAAATTGCGAATCATTACTTTGTCTTTTAAGCATCTGGATGTAAATCTTACCTAGAAATTATATTTGAATATTTAAGTCCTTTATAAATAAATACTTTCAGTTAAGGAACAACTAGCAACTTTAGGTTGGCTTCAAAAGACCTCAGATACAAGCACAGATTAAAATATTATTACATAACATGGTCTCAATATCCATTAAAACTTAAAAATGTCTTTTGGAGGCTGGGCGTGGTGGCTCATGCCTGTAATCCTAGCACTCTGAGAGGCCCAGGTGGGAGGACTGCTTGAGCTCAGGGGTTTGAGACCAGCCTGAGCAAGAGCGAGACTGTCTCTATCATAAACAGAAATTAGCCAAGCAACAAAAATTGAAAAAGTTAGCCGGGCATGGTGGCGCATGATTGTAGTCCCAGCTACTTGGGAGGCTGAGGCAGGAGGACGGCTTGAGCCCAGGAGTTTGAGGTTGCTGTGTGCTATGCTGATGCCACAGCACTCTAGCCTGGGCAACACAGTGAGACTGTATCTCAAAAAAAAAAAAAAAAAAGACTTTTGGACTCAATAACCAAGAATGATGCCAAAGTGATCTTCCTTAAAGCAAATTCTGCTCTGTAGTGAAAAGTATTATGAGATTATCTGGTGCGTTTGATAGTAAAACAGAAACTGATACGGCACCAGGCTAAACACTAAAAGAGGAGAGATTTTTAAACCCAATTAGATTTTCCTAGTTTGTGTGGAACACAAAAAAGGTTAGAGGAAATCATACTGACTTCCTAGTATAGAATGGGAAAGTAAATAAGACTCTTATCTAGTAATCTGCTATCATCATGAATTAGCCAAAGTGGAGAAGATACCTCTTTTCTACTTTAATTTTATTATGGCATCATACTATATAATCTAAACTGAAAACCCTGAAAAGTGGGAAGGCCTCAACAAGTCTTGAATCAACTTTCTCTATTTGTTACCACAGTTTTAATCCCTTTTTGTTTGGATCATACGAATTTGTCTGAATTTTTAAGTAGCCTCATAACTTGCTCTGCTTTTATAACTTGGCTAAAGTGTTCTTTATCTTATTGGGTACTTCTCAGCTTAAAAATGTTAATGGCCTCTTACAGTGCTTAAGAAAAAATTTCCCAAATCCTTAAAGGCCTATGAGACCCTTATGATCAAGGTACTGCCTACATTCTAATTCGATCTTCATTTACTCTATTACCTGAACTCACCAATAAATTAGCACATGCTATTCCTTTTGCCTCAAAGGTTCTTTTTTTCCTTCTCCTAGATAATACCTTATCAACTTTTAAGATTCAGTTCACTTGTTTCTTCCATAGATTTCTCCAAGTTGGGAGTGGGTACTCCTCTATACTTCCATATTACATACTATCCCTATCATAACACTTATAATATTACGATTATTTTGTCTTTTAGAGGGTAAGGAATGCCCTCTATATTCTCTGTTTAGTACTGAGTGTGATGACAAATGTCACTGAATAAGCAAAGAAATATATAACTAATGTAGAGATGAAAGAGTTTGTTACAGTGATTTCATGTCCAAATAGAGCAGGGTGGAAGAAATCTATCCCCCACCTCAATTAATTTAAAAGGTTTTATGAAAAAGCTAGTTCAGAGACATTTAAATACTATTAATGTAGACATAATTAAGTGAAAAGAGGTCATTCCAGATTCTGCTAATGCAAATTCAAGACAAAAAGGAAGAAACAAAATTACAAAATGTTAGAAATGATTGTGCACTTGGATATCAAGTTCAGAACTTTATTTCAGAGATGAAGAAAGGGATGTCCATAACACCATAGGTCTTCTAAGTCCTAGATTGTTTTTTGTTTACCAAGGTAGCAGATTTCAGTGAAAGTCAGTAGGAAATAAAGACTTAAAGAAATGGACTTGAGGGCTGGATGCCGTGGCTCACACCTGTAATCCTAGCACTTAGGGAGGCCGAAGCAGGAGGCCAGGAGATTTAGACTAGTCTGAGTAAGAGCAAGACCTTGTCTCTACAATTTTCCATCCTACCCTAGACTCAGGGAATAAAAACCTGTGGGCACACTGCCTAGCAATCAGTGTTTTAATAAGCTCCTAGGTGATTATGATGCATATTCAAATTTGATAACCACTGGTACAGGATTTTAAAAGCTAGAGAAAAGATCATTACATTAACTTGTAGTGCTTTCAGGAGAAATAAAAAATGTGATCAAATCAAGTTAGCAGAGAAAACTGCCTCAGGCGGCAGTGTTGAGTCCAATGGTGTGTTGCTAGTATTACTGAGAACAATGAAGGCGGATTTGGAGACAAAAATTTAAGTTTAGGTGAGAGTAACCAAAAGATCTAGAATAAGGTTAACAGTTAACTCTTGATTATTCATGTTTATGAAGGGATTAACTGACAATCTCAAGTCATTTTGTCATTTGGCTTTGCAGTAAAACTTGATTTCTTTTTTCAGTATTTACCTTTGTTTTGTTTATAATAATATGAACATTTGGAGTGAAACCAGCAGAGTACTAGATTAGCTGTGTGCACACTGGTGAATCATTTAACCACTCTAGGTTTCTTTTTCCCATCTGCAAAATTGGTTGGGTCATCCGAAGATTCTTTTTAGCCACTATGAATCCATGAACACTGGCTTGCCCAAAATGCTCCAACTCCAAGAACAAGTCTAGTTCATTTAAACATTTTAATATCATTACTGGTATTTTAATTTCCCTAGCAATTTCAATTAAGTCGGTCATCAACATTTGTGTGCCCTATATGTATTATTTCCTTTACATTAAGTATTATGAAGAGTTAAATCTATTTTTGGTTTTCAGTATAGACCCTAACCCCAGTTTATCCAGCGGTTCCTGCTTCCCCCTTTTACCTCTCAAAACGACTGGAGGAAGCTTGCAAAAACATAATGAAAATAAAAATAAATAGATGAGTTAAGTGGTTGGATGGGAAAAAGTTAGCCAATAGTAATTTACATCATGCGTTAAGAAATGTGGGCTGTGGTGTGGTGAATCGCAATTCCTGCAAACTGAGCCACAAAATCTGGATAAAATCACAGAGAATCAAATAGCCAATGAAAGTAATAAAAGTCTGTCCATCTGAATGCAGGCCTAACATCTTTTATGTTAAATATTTAAAACCTCATAGGCCCGGCTGGATCATAAATGGCTCCCTTCTCAGCAAAACGTCTAGCGGAGGGATTTGCAGGCCTCACTTCCCTCCGGCTTTGGAGTCACCCCTGTGGCTCCAGCTCAGTCTAGGATACTAAGCAACACCTCTGGGTCTCAAGAGCCACTTTGAGGGATTAACAATTTGTGAGTCCACCTCCTCCTGGCCAACGCCTCCAACAACCCAGCCTAAAGAGGAGGAAAATGGGTAACTTGAAGTGAGGCTTTCCTTTCTCTTCAGGTCTCGTCTCGCCCTTAACTCCCAGGGTTGGCCTGCCAGCCCGCAGCTGCCGCTACCTCCATCCCGGGACCGTTACCTCCTTCTCTGTCGCCACGGCCTGCTCCGGCCGGTTTTGTCCCGGTGGTGCTGGGGCTGCCGAAAAGGGCTGGGCGGGTCCGGGAGGGCGGCGTGTGCGTCGCGCGTGGCTTTAGCGTCAGCCTCCTGCGCCAGGGCAGCCTGCGGGGCGACGCGTGGTCCTCGACCCAACCTGCGCTTCCTAGAAGAGGCACAGGTTGGGTGGAGGACCGACTTACCCCCTCCGCTGATGTTAGAAAAACGTTGCTTTACTCGAAAAACCATTTGTTAAAGTGCCACAAAGTGTTTTATACTACCCCACCACCTACACTTTGTTGACCCAAATAACTCTTTAGGGCCTGTTTCTCCGGGCAGGTGGTATAATGGTGGGTTAGGAACACCAGCTCTGGGATTAGACTCAATAGGACCTGCAATTCTAAGTTTTTGGTGACGATTAAATGAGATCATGCAAGGTAAGTGCTTAGCCTATCTAGCAAATAGGCGGTAAATAACTGCTGCCTTTACTACCAACCAGATTTGGCAGAATTCAGCGCTGGCAAGAAAAAAAAATGCGTTTCTCTGTAAGGCCAATACAGATTATACTGGCAAATAAATGAGTCCCCAATTTTGCTTAGGGCTGATGTAAATATATGATGCAAATTTCATCACCCTCTGTATCTCTGTAAGCTCTTTCCTTAATTTACCCAATTAGAAAGATTTCCCAGAGAGGGTCCCCACATTTATAAAAGTGGTAACAAGAGGTAAGGAGCAGTTATTTTTGTAACCGCCAGACCAGGACCAGCCTTATCTGGCCATACTGTTGATAACAGAATGTCCAGTTCTGTTATCACAGAGCTAAGAAGGCACAGAGCTAAGAAGTTGCAAATTATGCAGCCAGAGCATGTGCAGGAAAATTCGACCTCAAATAATAACACCTGGAACTAAAGTTTTGCCCACTCCCCCAACTAAAAGATGGGACATGGCTGGAACCAAGCAACAGAATACTTTCAAAAGGGATGGGTCCATTGTCTAGGAATGTCTGGTGATAAGACTCCTCCCCATGCCTTATCATAAAGTCTTGAAGTTCTTCTAATCAAAAGCTGCCCTGCCAACTCTTCCATATAACCTGTCCTCCCTAGCCCATAAAGCTTGCCCCAAACCCCAGACTAGGGAGACAGATCTGGGTTTGTCTCTGTTTCCAGGAGACAGAGTGCCTCCTATCTCCTTGCTGGTTGACTCTATACAGCTTATCTTTTCCCAAAACCTGGTGCCACAGTATTGGCTTCTATGTGCATCAGACAGCAAGCCCATTGCTTAGTAACATTTTGGTTCCTGGGAAACAGAATGACATTGGCAGGAAAGGCCAGGATACAGGTAGAATTCCAGGTATCACAATTTGTACCTCTTAACACAAGGATCTTACCAATTAAAAGAGGATCTTCGAGAATTACTGGAGATGGTGTGGAGACACTGTATCCAGAGTAACATATCTTACTTTACACAAGAAATAGATTCAGTAAAAATCATGTTTCAGTGGGGTATGGTGGCATGGGCCTTTAATCCCAGCTACTTAGGAGGCTGAGGGGAGAGGATCTCAAGAGCCCAGGAGTTCAAAACCAGCCTGGGCAACATAGTAAGAAAGGCCCTGATTTCAAAAGAAAAAAAAAAAATCATGTTTCAACTTTTGTAAATTTTTTGGTACACTGTGGGACCTGTTTTTTTAAGGGGCACATGTACACTAATCTTCACCTAAATTTTGTTAAAAGTTTAGTTTTCCCCATATTCTTTGTCAAAATTTGTCCCCAAACTCCAATAATTACTATATAAGAAAGAAACAACATCATCTAAGCTGTTACCCCCAATATGAAGGTAAATGGCAGGATTTGTGAGGTTACGTTTTTTCTTCTCTTGACTTCATGTTATCACTTTCTCCCACTCAATCTCTGCATCCTACTTTAAACAAAATTGACAATATTTGTCTGATATGCTAGTCTGCGTGACATTTGACTTCTCCCTGCGCAGGGCTGACCTAGTAAATTTACCACTCAAGAATACTACCTATCTTCCCATTTGGAGTCTACAACTAATAATTATCATGAAGGCTGGTTCTTGAGAATAAAATGAATTAATAGTCTCTTAGTTTATTTAAGTTTTCTATAATTTTTGAAACATTTTAATATACAAATAAGCCAGTGAATCCTCATTTATAAAATGACCATTTGACACATGATAATACAAAGATGGTTTAAAAATTGACTCATTTTTTTGTGACCAATTCAATTTCAATAGTAACTAATCTTCTTAAACATAATCATGTAGTTTCTGGAAGATGGGTTAAATGATGGAAAAATGGGCGACCATGAACACACCCTTTGATTTCATTTCCAAATTGGTGCTTCATTCTGTAAATAATGTCTTGGATGTCCTCTTTTGATAAGTGCATGGGTAATTGTCTAGATAGACGCACTGCTTCTCCCTGTGAAAAGAAAGTCATACATGTTACTGTGATACCCTGAAGCAGAAAACATGTTATCCTGGCAAGAAGACAGAAAATTGATTGTATTTATTCTTATTAATTCAATCAACAAATATTTATTAGGCACCAACTATGTTGTAGATTCTAAGGATAAGGTGGTAAGAAAACAAGACCCTCAGCTCTTATAAAATTTACATTCTAGTGCAGAGAAACAAAAAATAGATAAAAAGACAAAGAATTTTTTTGTGAATAAATAATGCACAAAATTAAACTGGGCAACATGACAGAGTGATTGTATGGTTCAAAAAAGTTTAATTGAGATGGTTTTAAGTTTCTTTTTAAGTAAGGAACCATAATGCAAAGATCATTAGGAAAGAAAAGTATTTCAGGCAGAGAGAACAGAAAGAATCAAATGTTCAGTGTGGGTGCAACTCTTAAAGGGAAGAGAGAAACAAGATAAGGGAGTTAGGTGGTAGCCAGATCATCCTCTAGGACAGGGTGAGTAATTGGGGTTTTAATCTGAATGCACAGGCAAGTAACCAGAGAGTCTTTAAGCAAAAGCCTGACATTTGTTTCACATTTTAAAACAATCAGTTTGCTGTGAAGTATGGTTTGAGGCAAGCAGGTCAAGAGAAGCAAGGGGCCGGGTGTGGTGGCTCATGCCTGTAATCCTAGCACTCTGGGAGGCCCAGGTGGCCCAGGATCGTTTGAGCTCAAGGAAGAGTTTGGGACCAGCCTGAGCAAGAGCGAGATCCTGTCTCTACTAAAAATATAGAAAGAAATTAGCTGAACAACTAAAAATACACAGAAAAAATTAATCAGGCATAGTGGCGCATGCCTGTAGTTCCAGCTACTCGGGAGGCTGAGGCAGTAGAATTGCCTGAGCCCAGGAGTTTGAGGTTGCTGTGAGCTAGGCTGACTCCACAGCACTCTAGCCTGGGCAACAAAGTGAGACTCTGTCACAAAAAATAAAAAAACAACAACAAAAAAAGAAGCAAGGAGTCTTGTTGATAACCACTGCAGTCCTGGTCAGAAGCTTTGAATAGAGTGATAGTAGCCAAGATGGAGGGAGGTATGAAAATTCCTGATACAAGAAGACTTCATGATGGATTAAATTGGTTATGAGGGATGAAGGATCAAGGATAATGTCCATATTTTTGGTATGGTAATGCTGTTTCCTGAGACAGGGAGAACTCAGGTTTTCAAGATAGTAGTGTTCACAAAACTGGCTTCTTTTAAGGTTTTCTTTTTTAAATTGCTGTACTTCAAAGATCTTGAATCCTAATATTATTCTCTTTAACCACCTATCCATTTCATTTTCTTTCCAACCATCCTACTCCTTTATTCCAACTAAGCCTGTTCTTTTTCTTTACTTTCACCTTTTCTTTCTCCAATCACATATTATTCTTCTGACCCACAAGCACCCTTCTGTCATTTTTCCCTAGTTAAGGTGGGAACAGTGAATGTGACATTAGGGATACTAGCTTTAGCAACCTGCATTCATTTTAGATTCCTACTAGAATCTAATTTGTCTTTACATCTCTGTAGGACCTAACATGGTTTCTTTTCTATAATGTGTTCAAATTTCCCTCACTCACCTTCCTCTTGTTCTTCCACTATATCCAGTTTACTAATCCCTACCCTTGGATAAATTCTACTGAGCACTACTGGAGATTCAGGAAACTATTCTAGCTGGAACCAATAGAAATGTTAGCTCTTTTGAGCCCTCAGTGACACCTGGAAATCATCTTAATCCTCTCTAATCAACCTTCTCTTATAGTACCTACAGCTCTCAATTTCAGATCTTTGCTACTGTACTCAAATTGCCAATGTCTTCCCAGCCTCGTCACTCTCAGCACAACTTCTACTGTTTCACCACATAAATCAAGACATGATTTCTCTCAAATTTACCTAAAAATATTATTTTCACTTTTCTTCCCCTCTTCTGCTCTTGATTCAGAGACAGTTTCTCCTTTCTAAAACTTACATCCTTATGCCATCTTCCCTCCTCCTTTTTTTTGGAACATTTGCTCTGCAATCTTTCATTGTCAGTCTTTTCCATCAATTCAATACAAACATGGTAAACATACTCTTTCCTTTTTTTCACTACCATGTGACTTGCTGTCTACTTTTCCACCACTACTCCACTCTTTAACTATTGGTAAATGTCTTCCATCCCTACTACAGTTAACCCTTGAACATAAGTTTTACTGCACTATGCAGTGCTCCCCAACCTTTTTGGCACCAGGGACCAGTTTCATGGAAGACAATGTTTCCACAGATGGGGTGTAGGGGAGCAAGGGGAATGGTTTTGGGATGATTCAAGTACATTACATTTATTGTGCAGTCAAACCTCTCTTCTAATGATAATCTGTATTTGCAGCTGCTCCCCAGCACTAGCATCACCGCCTCAGCTCCACCTCAGCTCCACCTCAGATCATCAGGCATTAGATTCTCATAAGGAGCGCACAACCTAGATCCCCTGCATGCACAGTTTATAGTAGGCTTCATGCTCCTATGAGAATCTAATGCTTATGTGATGATACAAGCGATGGGGAGCAGCTGTAAATACAGATGAAGGTTTGTTCGCTCGCCCGCTGCTCACCTCCTGCTGTGTGGTCGGTTCCTAACAGGCCATGGGCCAATATTGGTCTGAGGCCCAGGGACTGGCCACCGCGGCATTCATACATAGACTTTTTTCAACCAATTCTGGCTGAAAATACAGTATCATGGGATGCAAAACTCACATAATATGGAGAGTTGACTTTTTGTATGTTTGGGTTCCACAGGGCCAACTGCAGGACTCGAGCATTTGGTCCTGGAACCAATCCCCCAAGTACACCAAAGGACACCTGCACTCTGCCATCATGGCTCTCTTCAAGATTACCACTGCCATCTAGCTGCCATACCTGATACTCTTCTAGCAACTATTACCCTGTACAGAACATGATACCGTTTATCTTTAAATTTCTTTTCTTTCCTGACTTTTCTTGATTTTTTAATCTACCTTTCTATTGGTTCTCCTTTCACTCTCCTTTCTATCTTACTCATTCAGCTTGATCTTAAGTGGAAGCAAGCATCCCTGTGGTTCTGATACAGGTTCTCTCCTTTTTCTAGACCATTTTCCTTAACAATCACATCTACTATTACCTTAATATAAAGGAGGGGCAGTATTGGCAAAGAAAAAAAAAAACAAATTTAAAGCCAGTCCCAACCACTTTTTTATGTTATTTCTGAAATTTTATTTCTTCCCACATGGTTCTTCAGTACACAAAACACTACCTATAATGCCCTTGACCTTTACTTAACTTCATGCTAACTCCTTTAAAGTCTCCAGAAACTATTAAGTATTGAGTTGTCCCCACAATAGGCTGAGAATTTCCATACAACAAAGCTCCTAAAAGATTCACAGAACTCTACTGAATACATTCTTCAGAAGGGGTAACAAGTGAACTTTCCTATTAAGGAAGTCTTACCTTCAGAATACAGCAGGCATACCATGTATTGTAAACAAAAAAGGCTCATTTTAAAAAAGGGAGTATTAGAGTTCAGGTTTATTTTTAAAATAGTATCAGACAACTTTGAGGGATATATAGAACCACAAATATAGAGGCAATCACTATTGTTTTCTTGCCACTAACCTATACTTGGACATTTTAAAGTCTATAATCTTCCTCAATCCTTTTATTATTTTTAAATTTATTCTTTTTTTTTTTTTATTTTTATTTTTTCTTCTTTTTTTTTACATGTTCCTATGGATTCTGATTAAATTTATTCTTTTAAACCACTGTTACATTTCTCATTTGTGGTGAATATTGTTAAGAAAACAAAAATTTCCATTTATTCAATGATTTAGATCTTTCCTTTTCCCTCTCTTGTTTTGCTCTCGAAGCGATCAAGGCTTAGAATCATATTACAATTCTTTTTAGACAAGTAGATGGCATAAAGGTGGAACAACTGTGAATCCCTTCTAAGGGGATTATTTATGGAAATTAAAAAAGAAAGAACTTCATCAAAAATGTTTCATCCATAAAGCTCTTCCTGAATATGTAACAATGTTATGGTAAGAATCCAGATAAATTTTACCAAAACCAGTCTATATGTGAAACTTTTAATCCTCTTTTCTTTTTTTAATAGTGTTCCGTCTTGCAAACAAATAATAAACTTCATAACACCTGTTTTACTATTTTGAAACCACTATTTTTTTAAGAAACAAATATCTTAAAATCTAGCCAACCTACATAAATTAATAATGCATACCTCTAAATAACTTATCACTTTTCGAGGTCTACATTCAAAAACTTCTTTTGCATTTTTGTTTAATATAGCATTAAGAATTTCTTTTAAATCCATTACTCCATAGAATGGGAGACAGTTAGCCATTCCTTCTATTTCCAAGTAGTTTTCAGTAATGGAAACTCCTGAAATAAAAAATAAAAATATAGTTTAGTATAAATTATATTCCAGAACATGTCCATTAAAAACAAAATCACTGTTAAAGCATTTAGTGAACCTTCATTAGAATTTAATATAGTCAGGACAAAGTTTTGTTTCTTAGTTAGAGAACAAATAGTAATCTCCCATAGGATTTCACATTAAGTCATAAGTGCTCACTGACACCACATGTACTTTATATAATTTCATTTAATCTCAGATATTGCTGGTCTGCTCCTTACATTTGTTTAGAACATTTCTTACTTTGGAGAGAAAATAGAGTCCCATGATATTTATTAAAATATAACTGGTTTAAGTGTTTTAACAACTGCTGCTCTTCAAATTCTATCTTACTGTTTTAATATCTAATTTAAAGGCCTGAATTATTTTTGTGATGATTTTAACTTATAAATTATAAAAATAGTCACATAGTAAGTTATTTATATATTCCTAATTTGAGGAAATAAAATATTAATGTTTGTTTAAAATATTTTACTAGGACAATGTTTAAAAAACCGACATTTTATTAAACTACTTTCAACAATTTAGTAATTAAAATAAAACTAAAAACTAGCTACAGAATTGGACATTTAACTGGGTACATAATCCATAACAGCATATATTTCAAAGCATCAGATTTGGCTTTAAAATACATGATTTTGGAAAACAGCAGAGATTTGTCTTCTTGGGCTGTATCTGTGTAACAGTGTTCTTAGTACTTTAAGTCCATATAATTCTACTTAGAAGAAAAAGAGATGATCCAATTTTGAGTAGTAGCTATCAATGGATTAATTTAAAAAATGTGATGCAACTTGAAGAGTTTCAGATCCTGAGACTTCAATAATCCAATCTCTTACCTGTTCCCAGTTACAAAATAGTTCCTTTAGCTAGATGGCAGATGTAATGGTGGTAGACCACAGAGCAGATATCCTAATATTTTTCCCAGGAAATAACTGGAGAATAATATATGATGACATATCATCAAGCATTAAGGGATGAGATACAGAATTCAATGAAGGGAGGTGAAATCAGTTTTAGCAACTGAGGGAGCTTACATGGGACTCAAAACAGTGTATATAGACAGGCAAAGAGGAAGTAGTAGACTATTCTGGTTCACAACTCATTTACATATTTATATAGATAATAAATTTCCAAAAATATCAGTCTAAGAGAATTTTCACTATTACTACTTCTAAATCTTCTATATAATATGATTAGACTGAAAAGACTAATACTAGCTACATTTGCCCTGGAAAATTATACACATTTCACAGAATTACTAGTGGGGAAATGGGCAAAAAGTATTTGGCAACAAATAAGGAAATTGAGCAATATTTTAATCTGTTTCCAAAATTCAAACATGGAAAACTTAGAGACACTATGAACTATGCAACAATAAACTTTCAAAAAGTTTCAATAAAATTCTGTAAAATGCTTCCCAATTTTCAGTGAAACTACGTCAATGAATAAATAGTTTGACAAGTTTTCACTTCCTAAAATATGAAATTCTTATTGAAGCAGGACAGAAAGCTATTCACATTAAAAAGCAAAGTTCTTAGGGTCATACTGAGAATCGTTTTCCTCAAGGTCAGATGTATTCTTTCTCTCTTTCAAATGCTTTTATCTTTATCCAAAGATGTTTTGTGACAACTGGCAAAGTTAGTACAATACAATAATATTCTCACTAAAAGAGAGAGAATAGAACTTAATTAAAAAATGAAAAGACAAAAAATGAAGAAGGAAAGCATAAATGTCTTTAACTTGATCTGCTATTGACAAGGGAAATAATAATGATGATAATCTCAGTGAAGTTAATTCCAATCAAATCAAGTCAGTTTGTAGATGATTGTTTTAATCATTTTTGTATCTTTGTTGTCATGCAAAGTATCTGGCATTCAATAAGATTTAAAAAGTACTATCTACAAGCTAAGAGCTGAAAGCATTTGTCAGACATAAATTTACGGGTAGTTCAAAAATAAACATGTTTTTGGAACATTCAAGACAGTTATCCTGATTATTAAAAAAAAACTGCTATGATAACATCTTTCATGAAGAAAATGGCACCTGCCACTACCACCAAACAACTAATTAGAAAAACAGATTAAGTCAAGAATAAAATACCTTCTACACATGTGTACATACACACACTTTGCTTCACACTTCAAATAAATTCAAAAAGATGCCAGGGACCCTAAGCAAGAAAGATTTCTAGGACTAAAAGAAATGACTGTGAGTCAGTTCAGGTCCTGAAGTAGGGTCTGGAGGATGTGAAGAAAAGAGGATATTTGAGCATCTACCATTGCCAAATACTACACTCATCGATATATTTGTTACCTTGGGTAGTGTTCACAACTAGTTTGTGAAGTAAATATCCCAATTTTAATAGGAAGGCAAATGTAACAAATTAGTTAAGGGCTAGGCACTAAAGGCAGATTGCCTAGGTTCAAATCCTGATTCTATTACAAACTATGTTCCCTTGAGCAAACTTAACCTTTTGGCCCTTGATTTTTTCATTTGTAAAATGGGGACAGTCATAGAACCTGTAGGGGCATTAGGGAGATTAAATTAATACATTGAATAATTAGAATAGTGCCCTGCACACAATATTCAATAATTGTTAGCTGTTATCAATGAGGAAACAGGCCAACTGACTTTCCCCAAAACACAGTATTTTTAAATGGCAGTGTTGAGATTTGGACACTCTCTAGCCCAAGTCTAAATATCTGGAATTGAGGTGGGAGGTAAAAAGTTTAGTGTATCCTTAAAACTTCAAAAATCAAGTAAAATTAGTTTAAGTTTAGTACACCAAAGCATGCTTTTGTACATTGTTTTTACTTTTGGTTAAACTCTGTTTTTCTACACTTGGGGCATGAGAAGCTTAGAGGCAGGTGGTGGGACAGTGGAGTCCTTCCTCATGGTGCCACTGCGCCCTATGACACCAGAGGAAGCCAAGACAGAAGGCAGTTCAGTAAGGAAACTACAAAAGAACAAGTGGGGATAGCCAGGAGAACTGGAGTCTCCTAAGCCAGGTGGGTTTTCTTTTTATTCTCTCCACCCAATGAATTTCCACACTAAGTAAAGAGGGTTATCAGTCTTCTCGCAGAGACATGAAATCAAATTATTCACTCTCCAAATAGTAAGACTGCTGATGTTACATGTCTACTTTGGCAAAACAAATAAATGCTTTTAAAAAAGGAAAGATGTCCATTTCTGTTAGGCCATTCCAGCATCCCACATATTTATTTTGGTTTAATCATCTAAAGGAGTACTTTAATAATTTAAACAAAGCAGGCAGTTTGATTATTATATCAAAGAATGACAAAAATTATAAAACTACCTGTTTAGTTATGAAAATACAGAAGTGCAAAGCATTGGATCGAACAAATTTGCTTGTTTCAGGCAGAAGTGATCTTTTTGAAATAGGTCTGTTTCCATACAGCCAACACTGTATTTGTAGTGAGACCAAAATATACAATGATATCTGAAGTTATGAAACCCAACTATAACTATAACTCAACTATAACAAGACTCAAGACTTATTTTTCCAATTCAGGAAATATTAAACCACATTATCATACCTGGTATCAATTTTATCTTGAAACCATTTGCTGTAAGACGAGGATCAGACAGGTAGGCTGATTCACTGAATCTCTGGTCATCTGTTGTCATTTTACATAAAATCTCTAAATAATGAGATCCATTTAAAAGACTGAAAAAGAAATTATGGCCCTTTAACTTATTAAATATGCAAAATGAAATGAGGACTTATGAAAAAAAGTTAACCTAAGGGCTTTTTTTTTGGGGGGGGGACGACAACAGGGTCTCACTCTGTTGCCCAGGCTAGAATGCAGTGGCGTCATTATAGCTCACTACAACCTCAAACTCCTGGGCTCAAATGATCCTCCTACCTTGGCCTCCCAAAGTGCTGGGATTACAGGTATGAGCCACTGTGCCCGGTTACCAAGGGGCCTTTTTAAAGTGTTATAATCATTAACCAAAATATGAAGGTCTAAGTAGCCCTGTGAGAAACTACTTTTTTACATTTCTGTTAATATTTTATTAGAGACCTACTACATACAGTATATTAACAGGAGAAATAGAAATAAAAAATAATTTCTATCTTCTAAAATGTTACAAACTCAATGTGAAATAAATGGCTCTTTCTAAATATAATACAAATGAAAACTATAAATAATGCCATTTTATACCTTTAAAACATACACAACAACACACTATCAAGTTACTCAAGTGGTCCTGCTGAAAATCCTGCTGAATTTTCAACTATTATTCAGGGTTTCTCCAATAACAAAAAGATAAATATATATCTTTTTCTCCCAGGAACTTATACATTAATCAATTTAGAGCTTGGGAAAGCTACCTTCAGTCTATGGAAGGCATGGCATCTTTGTTGAAGGTGGCACATAAAATGATTCTGAGTGGTGTGAAATTTTGAGGAAGCCAAAGATTGCCTACAAATCAACCTCACATATTGGTTTTAGGCTTTGTCAGGGTGCCATATAACAAGATAGTCATTGTGAAAAGCTGTCTTTTGGGACTGACATGTGAATGGTTACCATTTTCCCATTCATTTGATTAATATTTGGGTGCCTACCACACAATTTATATTGTTTTAGGTATACAAGGCATTGTTCTATGTTTCAATACAGGATGCTATACTATTTTATCATAGCCCTTTGTACCTTGAAAAGTAAATGAATAGATGGTATCTTTGCTTATCAGTTCTAAATGGCTGAAGACTCCACTGGCTGTGGGAGCCCAGGTTTCAGAGAAGACAGCTTTGGTTATATATCTAACATGCAATGTCTTGCCTAACCAACATTCTGGAAATCAATCTGAGAGCTGATGGTGATGATGATAATGATATAGTATAGCAATTAACGATGCAGGCTCCATAGTTAGATTGTCTGGATTGTAATCTTGGCTCTACTGCTTATTTACTGGCTGTGGGAGCCTACATAAATTGCTTAACCATTCTGTGTTTTAGTTTCAGCTATAAAATGTGGATGATATCTGCCTCATAAGATTGCTGTGAAGATCATAAAAAGACTTACCAAAGTTCCTATCATATAGTAAATGCTCAATCAACATTAGCCATTATTTTTTTTTATTATTATAGCCCTTCCTTTTTATTTTGTAGATAACTAAATTACTCCATTCAGAGGTAAGCTACCCAAACAGAATCAGAATTCTGGTGAGAAAACCGAGCCCAACCTATAATTACTCTGTCAACATTGTGGGATAATTATTCTGACTCAGTTTTGAAAAACTTACATCATTCACTGTGATGGGGATGCCACATTTCAAAAGAAGGCGGAAAAACAATTTTGAATTAAATTTTCTTCATTTATACTCAAAAGATTTATTTTCAGGCTAGCATGGGCCCCAAATAATTCTGTTTTTGCATTTGTTTTTGAATAACACATAGAAAAATATTTTTTAAAGTCTATAATTTGGACAAGCATAAAGATTTTTGAAATTTAAATGAAAGTTTACAAATTCAGAAAAGCAATCAAGTCTAAAAATTCAGATGTGCCCCAGCTATATTTGAGGTCTGAAGAAAGAGAACGTGTTATCAGGCTTTTAAGTTGTTTTAATACAGTCAAAAGGACTGGGTGCGGTGGCTCATGCCTGTAATCCCAGCACTCTGGGAGGCCGAGGCGGGGCGAATTGCTCAAGGTCAGGAGTTCAAAACCAGCCTGAGCAAGAGTGAGACTCCATCTCTACTTAAAAATAGAAAGAAATTAATTGGCCAACTAAAAATATATATAGAAATCATTAGCTGGGCATGGTGGCGCATGCCTATAGGGAGGCTGAGGCAGAAGGATCCCTTGGGCCCAGGAGTTTGAGGTTGCTGTGAGCTAGGCTGATGCCACGGCACTCTAGCCCGGGGAACACAGTGAGACTCTGTCTCAAAAAAAAAAAAAAAAAGAAAAAAGAAAAAAAATACAGTCAAAGGCATTGTTTCCTAATTCTGCCTCTGACAGTTTCCTAAGCCAATCATAAGAGAATACTACAAAAGATACTGGATTTTAGTTAATGTGATTGCTGTTGCCTTATTTATAAAGACAGATTTAACAGATTTTTTTTGTGGTCTGGCTGTATTTTTTTTTCCTTCTGGTGGCACTGTATTTAACAAGAGTTTTAGTACATTTTATAAATGATTTCTGCTTTACTCTTGAAAATTCTGAAACAGAGTTATGTTATGATGTGTCCTAAAGTATAAATATTTAAATTTCAGGTTTTTATCTCCTTTATTATCTGATTCTCTTCTACCCAGGTCAGACTAAAAAAGAGGTATAAAAAAGAGAAATGTTAATAGGTTAGTCATTAGTTATTTTTTTTTGATCATATAGGATAGGGAAAGGAAATACCCCATTTTACAACCAATAATAAAATTACTTCAGGCACAGAATCAATGCAATTCCCATCAAAATACCACCAGCATTCTTTACAGATCTAGAAAAAATAATCCTTTGCTTGGTATGGAACCAGAGAAAACCACACATAGCCAAAGCAATCTTAAGTAAAAAGAACAAACTGGGAGGGATCAGTCTTCCTGACTTCAAGCTGTACTATAAGGAAATAATAGTAAAATCTGCCTGGTACTGGCACAAGAACAGAAACAATCGATATCTGGAATAGATCTGAGACTCCAGAGATCAAACCATCTGTATATAGTAACCTAATCTTTGATAAAGCAGACAAAAATGTACTATGGGGAAAAGATTCTCTCTTCAATAAATAGTGCTGGGAAAACTGGTTAGCAATATGCAGAAGAGCAAATCAGGACCCCAACCTCTCACCCCTCACAAACATTCACTCAAGATGGATAACAGACCTAAACCTAAGACATGAAACTTTAAGAACCCTAGAAGAAGATGTTGGGAAAACCCTATCAGATATTGGTCTAGGCAAAGAATTTATGAAGAAGACCCCCAAGGCAATCACCGCTACAGCAAAAATAAACAAATGGGATCTGATCAAATTAAAAAGTTTCTGCACTGCCAAGGAAACGATCATTAGAACAAATAGACAACCCACAGATTGGGATATAATATTCGCTCTCTACACTTCGGATAAAGGTCTAATAACAAGAATCTATCTAGAACTTAAAAGAATAAACAAGAAAAAATCAAACAACCCCATCAAGAAATGGGCAATGGAAATGAACAGAAACTTCTCCAAAGAAGACAGAATAATGGCCTGCAAACATATAAAAAAAAAAAAAAAATGTTCAACATCTCTAATTATTAGAGAAATGCAAATCAAAACCACAATGAGATACCACCTAACCCCAGTGAGAATGGCCTGTATCAGGAAATCCCAAAACATCAAATGCTGGCGAGGATGCGGAGAGACAGGAACGCTCTTACACTGCTGGTGGGACTGCAAATTAGTGCAACCTTTGTGGAAAAGAATTTGGAGATATTTCAAACAGACTAGAATTAGAAATACCATTCGACCCAGCAATAGCATTGTTGGGCATCTATCCAAAAGAACATAAGTCACTCTATTATAAAGACATCTGCACCCGAATGTTTATGGCAGCACAATTCACTATTGCACGGTCATGGAAACTACCCAAGTGCCCTCATTATGAATGGATAACTAAAATGTGGTATATGCTCACAATGGAATATTACTCAATCCTAAGAAACGACAGTGAACAAGCACCGTTTATGCTATCTTGGATTAAGCTTAAGCCTGTGATACAAAGCGAGATGGCACAAGACCTGGAAAATGGGCTACACATCTACTCACCATCAAATTGGTACTGACAGACTAAAACTACGGTGCTCAAAAAATTGTAGTGTTCAACAGGGATGGGGGGGATCTTAAGGATGTGATGAACATTGTAGGGGGGAAAGGATTACCTCTATCCCTTTTTAGGGAGAGGCAAAGAAACACACTGTAACCAAAATGTCTAAAAAAAAAATTTGTTAATGGGAGGTGAACAGGTGGAAGGGGGGAGAAGGGGAAGGGTACGCACTTTCATGGTGGGTGCAGGGCGCACCACTTGGAGGCTGGACACGCTTGAAACTCTGCAGGCGGGTGGGGAGGGGGGCAGGGCAAGATATGTAACCCTAACAATATTTGTACCCACAGAATTTGAGATAAAAAAAATAATAATAAAATATTACTTCAGGCAACAATAATCAATGAATGTTTGAAACCATTTGGTGGAAAGGCTGATGGGGAACTTTAAGGTGGAAGATCAGGCTGTCATCAGTTGAACGTAGTGATAGATGCCTTTTGATGTGATGAAATATGAAGTACACAAGCCCGCCTATTAAACAGTCTTACCAGAGAGTAAAATCCAAATCTATTCAATCCTCCTGAGCTAACTTCCAATTAAACATGGGAGAGAGAAAAACTAGTTAAATACCACCACAAGAAAGCAAATAGACATATATAGACAATGGAACACTCCTCCGAACAAGAGACTCTGTGTCTATAATAAGTCAATAGTGTACTTCTAAGAGACATAACCAAATGTAATCTGTGGATTTTGTTTGGGTACAAATTAAATTTAAAAATTATTAAAAAAAGAACAACAGAAAAAAAAACATTTTGAGACAATGAGGATCAATTCCACAGAGTTATTATTGTGTAAGGTATAATTTAAGAAAGGCACTGTGGTTAGGTACGAAAATAGCCATTTTTTGAGACAGAGAGATACTGAAAGATATAGGAGGGGGAATTGTTCTAAACTACTTAAGAAAATAGTGTGTATATATGGTATATAAAAGGACAGATAAAACAAATATGGCAAAATCTTGATAATGCTGATAAAGGTGGGTTCACTGCTATAATTCTATTTTAGTTTGTGTTTGAAATATTAAAACAAAGGGTGCACAACAGAAGAAAGTCATAGCAATCTAACTTTGAAATGAAGGAAGTCACTAATCTTCAGGAGATAGCTTGATATTTATTAAATGCAGAAATGAACTATCAAGAATATTCAAAAATTATTTATAAACAATTCTATTAAAGATCAGAAATCAAATTTAAAAAGATTTCTTTAAATAAAAACCACTTATCCCTACTAGGAAATACTTCCCACTTTTTACCTTCAATTTCTAAACTAGTATGAATTAATAAATGTTTTTAGAGTTTAAAAAATTGTATTACTTCATCATACCTCTCTGTTAATATAATTGGCTTTTCCAGTGGCTCCGCAGGAATTTTATGATTCTCAAGAAGTCTCTTAAATAGCAGGGCTTCTTCTACTCTATATGGATTTAATAACATTACCTCTGTTTTCGATGTAAGTAGCCATGCATCAGGAAACCTGAGATTGTGGATCAAGCAAAGTTCATCCTTCTCTTCTAGGTCTAATTTCTTTTGTTTCTGAAAATTTATTTTTAAGTTTTTCATAGAAAAGGGGATCTGTATAATTTTAATATTTTGACTTTTTTTTTCAATTTGGGACTGAAAAAGTTCATCAAGTTTTGGCTGATTAGATAATGAGGCTTTCAACTTGTACTTCTGTGCCAGATTCCATGAGCTGGTTTTTATCTTTTTTCTGCCATCTTTAAATGTTATCTGTGACTCTTGTTCAATGGCTCTCTTCATTTGACCATTGTATCGTTCCAAGTCTTTGGCAGCCTTCTCTTCGTATCTAAGAACAGAGATAAAATAGAGCTCATGAGGTCATAATCACAAATATATTAATCATCTGAAGTAAATTTTATACAAAATAAGGAGCTGGTATTCCAAATCTATCAATGACAAAGAAAGTTGCATTGGACTAACACTCCTGCATATAACTACTATAAACTCTGAACAAAATATAAAAATCAACTATTTAAAACAGGCATTGTAGAACAGCCCAAAGCAGGCTGAAATTGGCATGGATTGAACCCCTTAAAAAAAGGGATCAACATTTATACAACTTTGATCCAGAGGGTAGTCTCCAGCACTGCAGGGGAGAGGGTGGCCAGAACTCAATCAGAAAGTTGCAGTCATGTTAGCCTGAGTCATCAGAACACAGAGCTACTTGCTTCCAGAACAACCGGAAAGAAAGAAAATCCCAGAAAATCCCATATGTGGGAACCTAGAGGAAAACAACCGTTAGAAGGCCAAATGAGCTGAACAGAGATTTCAGCTGCTACTCATTGCAGAGGAAACAGAGTATGGAGTTTGAATTCCACAACATTTCATGGCTTGGTAAGCACTCAAGGCTTTCTCAAAGGAAAAAAAAAAAAAAGAATGGAGCAGGGCAACATCTTAAAGTAAAAAAAAAATATGCCCTGCAACTAAGAAGTTGCCCTAAAACTAAGGACAAAATTGGAATGGTCTCTCCCTAACAAGGTATAAAACAAAGCCTCCATAAGCTCAAGGTAATCTGTTAGTAATTTAAATGCCTGGTAGAACAAAAATCAATACTTTTCGCAAGAAGATAACAGAATCCAGAGTTTTAAATATATCATATGCAATGCCTATTATACAATCAACAGTTACCACTCAAGCAGGAAAATGTGAATCATGGTCAACAGAAAAAGTGGTCAGCAGAAGCCAACCTCAAGATGACCCAAATGTTAGAGTTAGGCACAAGAAATTAAAAATAGGTTTTTATAAACGTTTATGGTCATAAAAGATGATTATGATGAAAGAAAAAGGGGAGTCTCAATAGAGAAATGGAAATTATAAAAAAGAATGAAATGGAAGTGGAAATTCTAGAACTAAAAAATACAATGAATATTTCCAAATATTCACTGGATAGGCTTAACAGCAGATCAGATAGCAAAACAAAAGGGTCAGTAAAGTTGAAGACAGATGAACCGAAAAGTGACTGAAGAAGACTGAAAAAGCACCTCAGGCTAACGAACCCAAAATTTGATTGTATTCTGCAAAAATGTCCTTCAAAATGAAGATGAAATAGACATTTTCAGAAAAAAGATGAGAATTTGTTGCCAGTTTATTTACATTATTAAGGAATGACATCAAATACAAGTGGAATTATAAGGTCTTTATATTTTATGCAAGATGGTACACTATTACTCTAAGTAGACTATGATAAATTTAGAATGCACCATAATGTAATCACTAAAGCAAAAAATAATGAAAAGCCAATAGAGGAGTTAAAATGAGACATTAAAACAAAATAGAGATGAACTAATAGAAAACAAATAGGAAAATGGCAGACCCAAACCCAACCTATCAATTATTATAATACATGGACTACTAAATATTTCAATTGAAAAGCAAAGATGGTCAGAATGAACTTAAAAAGTAACAACCAACTTTATGTGTAAGAGTTACACTTTAAATATAAAGACACAGATACCGTAAGAGAATGAAAGAAGATACATTATGCAATTAGTAGGTATAAGAAAGCCAGACTGGCTATATAAGATGAAGTATATTTCAAGACAAGAATACTGGAGATAAAGAGGAACATTCCATATTGATAAATGGGCCTAATAATCACAAATGTGTATGTTCCATATTAACAAAGCTTTGAATTAAAGCAAAAGCTTATAGATCTAAAAGTAGAAATCCAGAATCATAGATTTCAAAATCCCTCCCTCAGTAACTGACAGAACCAGACCAAAAAAAAAAAAAAAATCAGTAAAGTTATTGATGATTTTAGCTACACTATCAACTACTTCTACTTCATTGACATTTTAGAACACTACCATCTAGCAATCGCAAAATCCTGATTCCTTTTAAGTGAACCGAAAACATTTGTCAAGATAGACAATATGCTGGGTCTTAATTCTCAATACATTTCTAAAGATTGAAATCTAATTTAGTATTTTCTCTGTCCATGACAAAATTCAATTTGAAATAATATAGAAAAGCTCAATAGTTGGAAACTAAAACAACATAATTTCATTATTAAAATTAATAGCCCCAAACTGGAAACTGAACAAACACATTTTGGTATACTTATACAACTGAATATTACTTATCAATTAAAAAATGAACTATCAGATTCAACACATGGATGAGTCACAAAAACACTTTATTGAGGAGAAGAAGTGAGATATGAAAGAGTATATATCATATGACTTTATATATATGAAGTTCAAGTACTGGCAAAGCCAAGCTAGTGTAATAGAAATCAAAACTGTGGTTGCCTATGGAGACTAGCTGGGAGGTGACACTGAGAGGCCTTTCTGGGATGATGGAAATGATCTATACTTTGTTTGGGGTGGTGTTTCTATTGGTGCACACATTTATGAAAATGCATCAAACTACACTGTTAAGATCTTTGCCTTTCACATTAGGTAAATTTTACCCAATTAAAAAAACCAGTTAAGAAAATGTTAAGGCATAAGTACTCAGAAAAAGAGAGAATGAAAAATGACTTAAAGAGTTAATTTCAGATCTGAAGAGTTCCTTACATATTTGCTGTAACAACAACATGGAGCATATAAACAATTCCCTGAACACTAGAAAAGAAAATTTACATATATTAATACCCTTAGTAAGTAGATACTAGTAAAATTATAAAGCTACTACAATAATCACAAAGTAAAAAACATAATTTACAATGTTTTCATAGCTAAAGATACATTTTTTTCAGTTACTAGTCTCATTTTAGAGTCATCAATGAAAAAAATACATTCAAATCAACCGAACACACCCAAACCATTTAAGTTAACTCAATTTCAAAGGTACAAGATAATGGATGTTTCAAAAATTATACTAGGTAAAAAGTTAAGAGGTTCTTTTGTCAACAATGAGTAAAATGAAACTTCTAGGGCCAAAAAAAGTCTAGCACAGTGGTTATGTCAACCCTTTACTAAATATTGAAATGCCTGGGTCTTACCCTCAGAGTTTCTAATTCTCTGAGTCTAGGCTACGTGGAGGTTGGGCAGCTCTGTTTTTAAAGAGTTCCACAGATGATGCCAGTATATACCCAGAATTGTAAACTACTGCTATGTGTTAAGCACAGTATAGTGAGTGGTTAAGAGCACAGCTAGCCTGCTTCTGCCACTTAGTAAGTAGCTGTGTAAATCTATGCAAATTATTTAATTTTTCTGTGCCTAAGTATGCTCACCTATAATATAAGATAATATATGGGTAATCTATATCTACTACATAGTTTTGTTATGAGGAATAAAATAAGTTAAAATGTGTCAAGTACTCAGAATAGTGCTGGGCACACAGCAAATAGTGATAATGTTTGCTGTCATTATTTTCTATCACAAAACACAAATCTTATAATGAATTGGGCATACAACTGACTAAGAACTGGTAATTAAATATCCTTGCTAAAATATTTTTCAGTTTTAAATTTGGGACTAGAGAATTAGGGTTATTTCTAGTCTCCTACTCTTAAGAAACTGGCTGAATTCTATTACATGCATAAAATACTTTCGAGAAGAAACTTGGATATATTAAGAAATAAAAATGATATTGGGAGAACTGCAGTAAATGTTAAAAGGGGCACTCAAGACAAAAGGCAACAGCATGGCACGTAGTGTGTACTCAATACATGTTTGTTGAATGTAGAAATGCTGGCTGGATAAGAATGTTAAAAACAAACAAAAAACCCTTGTTTCATTGTCAACTAGATTAAAAAATGCTTCCTTTGGTTGCTTACTATGCCATGTGAAATTATTCACAATTTTTAAAATTATTTTCTCCCAATTCTACTTAGAATCTGGATTAGAAGTTAGAACTTAGAAGTTCTGGATTAGCTATATAAAACACATAATTTTAATAGTTTACTTTCAACAGGCACTAGAAATAAATATCTTAGACATTCAAATTCAAGACTTTTCCTGTGCAGTGGAAAATGACTTCAAGACAGAGGTCACCATTTGTAATTAATTATAATGTGCAAATTTCCATACACGGTACTAATCTTTTGATTTACACAATAAGTTAATTTAATTAGCTCCTTGGGAAATATAAAAAGTTATGTCCAAAGGAATATTACGTAAATATTAAGTAAAAACAGGTGCTTCCTTTATGCTTAATTTCATTAGGGGGTTGATATTAATCCTGATTTGACCAGTAGTCAATTCAAATGCTGTTTTTGTGACTAAACATTACATTTAATTATATAGTTTGCTTATCATTTTCAATAATACCCCAACTGCAATGATATTCTTAGTTATTTTAAGTAGAAATAGCCACTGCATAGCTACTGCAAATGAAAGTTCAAGTTAACACCACTTGACTGAGACCTCACTGGCAAGACACATGGCCTAAATCTGGATTCTAATTCACTAAAGGAGAGAAAAAAGGAAGAAAAAAAAAATCCAGAAAGGAAGAACTAATATATGAAAGTACGCCCCCTACTCTAAATAAAGTCTGTTTCAAGCTCTGAGATAGAATTTTAACAGCTGGAAAACCCTGAATCTAGTCCTTATTCAAATTCTTTGTTACTGCCCACAGAAACTTTCATAATCTGGTCCTTGCCGTCTCCATTTGTCATTACTGTGTTTCTTCACATTCTATTCCTGTTATAGAGGGAATTTTTTATTTCCTCAATAACACCATGTTCTTTCTAGCTTCTGGGGCTTCTCACATGCTATTCCTCCTACCTAGACAATTCCCTAAGACCTTCTTGGTTAATTCTATTCAAGGAAGCATTTCCTGTCTCACAGATGAGATTAAACACAACTGTTAAATGTTCTCATAACATAACTCCCTTATGTATCTTAGAATTCATCAGGTTCTATGATTACTTCTTGTTTAACTGAATCTCCCTCACTAGTCTACACTATTTAGTAGTAGAAAGTAAATTGAATTTGCAATGATGATACATTTTTTGGTACTGTGTTACATATTTTGGAGATCAATTTTAAAAAGGGAAGAGTCAAGATATTAAAAACACCATAGTTATAATTGTTCTAATACAAAAGCTTAAAAAAAGTTCTACCATAGAAAAATTCTTAAACATAAAAAAAAGAAATAGAAGAAAATGGTGTTTTAAATGGAGAAGATGAATGGAAAACTTTAAGAACAAATTTAATAAATCAGAAAGCAGTTAAGACTTGTACCAAACAAAAAACAAAAACCCCCCCTTCAAGAAACTCCCAAAACAAAAAACCTAAATTAACAACCAAAAAAAACCAATACCAAAACAGGTACTCTAGCCAAGCCAAAGGCATTTTCCATTCTGCTTTTCCATAAATAAGAAGTTTTAAAAAATTATTTTAACCAGTGAGTCATATAGAATGGAAATAGCTGAACATTCAGGTCACACGCAAGCTCTGGAAACTTACTTCAGTTTTTCCTCTTCACTCAATGTCTTCCACAGTTCTTCAATTTGTACTGCTGCATCCTCTAAACTGGTCTTAGGATTTTCTGTGAGAAATTTAGCACGATAATCTTGAACAAAAAGGGTACTCGCCGACATGGGTTTCTTGATTATTTTATTGCTAATTAAATCATAAGCTGTAAGTTGTCCAGATTTGTTATCTATTACATTTGATTTTTTGTTACAGGGACCTTCACTGAGATTCTTTTGTTCAGGGCTTGGATGATTATTACTTACTTTACATGCTAAACCTTTTTGAGGCCCTAAAATTTTCACAGGTTCAATATTCTCTCCCATTGAATTTTTAAGTACATTTCCCTTGCTCCAATCATCAGCACACATTTCCAAAGACTTTTCAACAAGAACTCCTTCTTCCTCATTTTCCCTGCTTTCATCTATATCGTCTTTATTGCCATTTTCTGATGGAGTGTGCTTAACAGAACCTATGGCATAAGTTTCACTATGTTCCCTTTGGGTGTTCTCCCATGATAAATCACTTGCTGAAATTTCTCGAGATGCATTTCTAGTATTCTTATCAATGCTAGAATCTTCACTATTAAAATGACCATCACAATGGTCACTAACACTTATCTGGTGATTTAAATAATCATCAGTATTTTTTTCAGATTCATCATTACGCACATCATTTTGGAAAGGAATGGGTGAAGTATCAACATTTGGATAATTATTTCCAGATGATTCCATTTTATTAAAAAGCACATCTGTTTCTGCTGTTTTACTACAAACAATGTCAGCTGAGGAAACATCTGTTTTATTATTTTCACAAGTATTTGTACTAGGTAGTGGTCCATAACAAGTTGTCATCAGGTTTTCAAGAGCAATTAAAACAGATTCCTAAAAATACAAATTAACAAATGTTAGGGGAAATTATGAAAATAATAGGCAAGATTTAAAATAATAATATTATAATAATAATAAAAGAAAAATATAAAGCAAATCGTTTTTATATGAAAACAGGAATGCATGTTTATAAATAGCATAATATAAAAATTATCTGAAAATGATTACCTTATTCTGTAATAATACTTGACTTTTATCTGGTGTTAAATTTATATCCACATCAGTTGTAGGAACATCAATTTTCAGAAAGAAAATGGGATACAAACGAGTAGATTCCTTTAGGCACTTCAGATTGTAATAATGTCGGATTAACTAGAATTAAATGTAATAAATAAAAGACAAAAATAATATATGTAAATAAAGATAGCATTGCCAACTTTAAAAGACCACCAAAAAGCAGATTCGACTGAGAAACTGAGTAGACATAACTGCTTATAAGGAAAGGCAATATCTATGTAGTGATACTCATTTGGAGGTCTTAAACCTAAACAAAGCACAAGCATTCATAAGTAGTACAAATATCCAATACAACTGGCTTCATGATTAAAAATCATAGTGTCACTGAAGTTCTAAAGGCCTGAGGTTCAATTCAAAACTCTTCCTGGCTACATGACCTAAGAATTGTTTCCTCACTATAAATGGGGCTAGTAATGCTTCAAAGAATTGTTGTGAAGAGTAAATGAGACATCATATGTAAAATTCCTAGCACAATGTTTTAATAAATGATAATGTATCCCTTTTTATTTTTCTTATTTTAGAGCAAATTCTTAGAAATAGTCTTTTTTTACAATTTGACAAATAAAGCTAGTTTTAAATTTCTGATCTAAATGATACTTTTTTCTAAAAGAGATTACCTTTAATATGTCTTTTTGATGTACTGGTCGACTGTTTATAAAGATGAAACTCCTTTCTGGGGTTGAAAGACTTGTTAAAGAGTGGTCTGCATCATGCTTTGGAAGAAATCCACTTAGATAAATCTATAATTATAATAAATAGTTACAGAATATGACAAAGTTAAAGAGCCATATACTTTCTGATTACCAGGTTGAAAGCATTAATTTTATTTATTTATTTGTTTATTTTGAGACAGGGTCTTGCTCTATTACCTGGCCTAGAGTTCAGTGACATCATCACAGCTTGCTACAACCTCAAACTCCTGGGCTCAAGCGATCCTCCTGAGTAGCTGGGACTATGGGTGTGTGCCGCCATGCTCGGCTAATTTTTCTATTTTTTTTTTTGGTAGAGATGGGTCTCACCGTGTTGCTCAGGCTGGTCTCGAACTCATGCCTCAAGCAATCTCCTGCCTTAGCCTCCCAAAGTGCTAGGATTACAGGCCTGAGCCATCATGCCCAGCTTCAGCATTAACTTTAAATAAAATACTAAAGTATGTTAAAGTGGTGTTCTATGCCTCTAACTCTCTTTTTGCAACTCTAAGGAAAAATAGGCATTTATAAAATCTTTATGAATAGTTATACTTTCATATATATGACTGTCAGGGGACATACTCTGTTCAACCATATCTTCTTTTGTCTTTAAAATTTCCTTACTCACACTGTTACTTTTCTCTGGCTGTCCTTTTCTCCTTAACCATGTTTTCGTATAAAGACTGTTTCTATATTTATTCTGAGTGTGCTACAAAGCCAATCTTACTGGGTTTTCATTTCTGAGTTTAAAAAAATATATATTTTACTCTTTGAATTAACTTTCTCAGGGCTAAATACTGATTGCACTGCTGTACTTTATTTTCATTTTTTTAAAAAACTGATTATTTATATGATATCTTTCTTTATTTTACAAATGGATGAAGAGAAAGAAGAAAATGAAGAAGGACATTAGAAAAGAAGACCAGAGAGAAGAGAGCAATTGAAGGGATAGAAGGCAGGGAACATGCTCCTAGTTTTACAATTAACACAGTTAACACAATACAGCAAAGTGTTAAGAATAGGACAGAGCTAGATTGACAAAGTTTGAACCCCAGTTCCACTACTAGCTATATGATTTTGGTTATTTAAAATATAGGCCTAATATCTCTTATCAGAAGCAACTGAAACAAGATGTGTTATTAATCTTTCAAGAAACACTAACAGTAAAATTTTAGCTTAGGTTTAAAAAAAGCAAGCAAGTTAGTGGGGGTATTATTTTTAGTTAAGCAGAAACCACGAGGCTCCGTATCAGCATAGCTTGTAGACTGCTACCTATGTCTATGGTTATCCCTGCCCTTGGAAGTAAGTGTTTAAGGAGATGCACTACTAATTTTAGAACACTAAGTGCATTATTGTCACAGTGCCAGATTGTGCCAATTTGAAAAAATAAATTAATAAATCTGGATAATGCACTACAAAATACTTACTTAATTAACTGCAAAACTTTACAGCATTTATAAATGGTTATATTATTTACCAGGTAACATGAGACCCTTTTTTTAAAGCACCTGCCGGCCATCAGGCAGAGCCTACTTAGCCTCTGAAAGACTTACTGGGTTTGTGGATTAAAAAAAAGTCTACCCTGAATAGGACAAGAATAAAGAATAAAATGAAGAAGAAATTGTATAATACTGCTAGAGTTCCTTTCACACTGTCTTGGTTGGCCATGGAATAATTACTATGACTTCCAGATACTGAACTTTAAAAATGATTTAGCATAATCTTAAAAACTAACAAACTATGTTTAAGTTAAATAGAAAAGTAAAATAAAACAGTGAAGTCTTATAAAAATCAAACTAACTCATGGAAAAAGAACATAAGACACCAAATAAGTGCAACAAAATTAAAAATTAGATAGACTTTACAAGATTCTGTACCCCAGTATTCCTCAATCTAAAAAGCAAAACAAAAATCAAAGGCAAAATACAAATACTTCTCCCCTGAATGCTTCTCAACTACGGGCCTTCCTCTCTTCTTCCTTTCATCTCCAGCTCTCTATAAACAGGCTTCTACCTCAAAGGCCAGCTCCAAAGGATACTACTCAGTCCTCTTATTTGACTCTCTGTAGCCCCTGACACCAATAACAACTCTCTCCTTTGGGAGGCAGTCAGTCCACTGTAGGAATCTGTTTCAATCTTCTCTTTTGGTCTTTCTGCTTCCCCTAGGACATTTCCTCTTTAATCTGGTTTGCTGATTTCCTTCCTTCTCCTTAGCCCCTATAAATGATGACAGTCCCCTCAATACTACCATAAGGCCTTTTTTACTTTCTAATTACTCTCCCTGAGTAATTTTATTCCTATTTGTAGTTTCAACAACTACCCATATGCCAGTGTTGTTAAAATATAGACATATATTAATAGCTTCTATTTCTTTCACGCCCAGATGCTTACTATCTTCAACTGGCTGAATATAAAAGATTGAGAATATAAAAATATTCTCAATCTCACTATATTCAAACCTTAATAAAACAAGTAGGAAGGAGCCCACTTTCTACCCTGCTGTCCAAAGGGCTCCTCTTGTTATTCTTTTGCCATGATAAAGAGCCCCGCCATCTACCCAGTCTGTCAAACCATCTCCTCTTCTCTACTCTGATTATACTGATGTAATCTTGACTGGTTTTGTAACACTAATTTTCTCTTCTTTCAGCAAACCTCCATAACATCACAAAGTTACATTTCTAAAGTGATAATTTAAGTACATCTGGTCAGGATAACAGAACAAGCTCATGTAGAAATTCCCTTTTCCTCCATCCCAACTGAAATACATAGCCGCGACAGATAAACTCAATTTTAAAAAAAATTTCAAAAGACCTAACCACATAAAAGTAAGACAAACAAAGATGCTGTGATTGCAAAACATATAACAGGGAGTGATGGCTAAAGTCAAAAGCTCTATGTGCTCTAGGATCAGAAACAAGATGTGTCAGCTGGAAATTAAATTCTGGTATGGAAATAAGAACAGAAAACAACCCATACAAGGTAGGGAATTGAAATCACTCTTTCCATTTAAAATAGGAGGTTCATATAGCACCTCCCCTCCAAAAAAGATATTTAAAAATATTGTGACCAGTGTCTGGAGATGACTGCCAGGGTCACAAGAAAGTACAGAGACATCTCCAAAACCAAGAATAAGGCTAAGCCAAGCTGGCTAGGAAAAGGGGTCTGTAAAATCTTGGCAGGACGAGAGGCACCTGGTTTTGAATTGAGTTTGTGGAGGCGGATATCTGCAATGGAGGGGAAGGTAAGGAGTGGAAAAAGAAAGCAACAAAAACAATAAGCCTGAATTTAAGATGATTTTGCAAATTAAAATTTCAAAGCATATAAAATTACAGAAGATGAGAGAATTTTGTGTCAGGAAAATAGAAATGATAGCGCAATATGAAAAAGCTTTGAAATTAGTATGTATAACATGCTTTTTAAAAAATAAATAGCATCTATTAAAAAAAGAAGAAAAATAAAATTGTCAACTTTAAATCAAATTTAGAAGAATATGAAAATAAACAAATTCTGAATTCTGGAAACAAAATATATAGTTTTGGGAATAAAAATAAGCCAGTACTGAGGAATTCACTCAGAACTTAGCATGAAATAATGCAGAGATAAAAATACCCAAGAGAAGACAGATGTCAAGAACGATAACTTGAGATGCTTCATAAAGCCAACAAAGCCACACTGGGAAATGCTTAACAAAAGCCACCAGAGCAGTGGCCCAGTTGAGACCACTACCATGATTGTTCCCACGTAGGGTCCCTGTAGATTAAAAAAAAAAAAAAAGAACGTTCACATTATAGGAAGACATACATAAAGATTCTCTACACCCAAGGTTCCTAATGGCCAACGGATCTGTCACCCCAGTCCAGTGAAGGGGGCCTTGGTGGCAAAGTTGCACAACTTAAAGGTATGTAATGAGAGTAGAAGTGAGGTTAGTGGGGACAACCACTAGCAGTTAGAAAACAAGATTGCTTTTGGCCAGGAATAAGAAGGGGCTCAAAGAAACTCAGATATAGGACAAGTCTTCAATCTTACAAGCCCAGAAAGCATGGAATGGTGATGGGTAGCTGGTGGCAACATAAATAAAACACATGTCTAGACATACAGTGCAAGAACAGAAGAGGAATTTGGTTAGATGATCATTCTAAATCATTTATTGAGTTCAAGCTCTCATCTAAGACTAATAAATTGATAATCAATAATTAAGAACTCAATACTGCAAAGAGAATGTACCAGGGGAACCAGTAGCAGAAGATATTTCAACAAACAATGAAAAAAGAGAAGAGTAGAACAGAGAAGCCAACTGCCTAGCAGAACTCCAGAGAGCCTTTGGACTTAAAGTCAGCAGATAACAACAAAGAAAAGGACTCTTCTAGAGCTGTGAATCTTTCAAGGTACAATTTTCAGCATAAGTTATATGTCTCTCAGAAATAAATATTAAACTATGCTTCTATCTTAGAAGTTGTGGAATATGATGACAATAGCTTAAAATGGCACGATGATATCTTGAAATATGCTTGCTTGTATCTTGTAGGTTCTTTTATAAAAATAAAGTTGATGGTTGAAAAAATTCTTTGGCCAGGCAAAGTGTAATCCTAACACTCTGGGAGGTAAAGCAGGGAGGATAGCTTGAGCTCAGGAATTTAAGACCCTGTCTCTACAAAAAAAAAAAATAGAAAAATTAGTTGGGTGTGGTGGTGCGCCCCTGTAGTACCAGCTACTCAGGAGGCTGAGGTAGGAGGATCACTTGAGCCCAGGAGTTTGAGGTTGCAGTGAGCTATGATGATGCCACTGTACTCTAGCCAGGGTGTCAGAGAAAGACTCTGTCTAAAAAAAGAAGCTAAGTCAATCAGATATGGTTATCTACATGCAAAAAAGTCTTTTCTATAAAGAAACCTAATAAAGACAACATGTCATGAACTAATTACAATTAACCTAACTTTATGCTAGAAGGAAAAAAATAAAGAAAAAGAGGGAATAGAGAGAGAGGAAATGAATTTCCTGAGAACAAGTAGGGCAGCAAGTAAGTGCACAATGCAAAGTAAGCCTCCACCCCACTATGACACTTATAATTCTCCCATACTCCAGGAGCAGGACTAGGATCTCGATTACTCAATTCTCAAGTGGAACCTGCGAGTCAATAAGTGCAGCCACAAACACCATATTCCCAATTAGATTTCCTATTCACAGGGAAAGACATGGAGAGAATTAGAGGCTTGGAGGAAAAAGACCTCATAAACAGAACAAAACTGAACTCCTAGGAAATAAAAATTATTTAAGAAACAAATAATTTTAAAACAAAGGCAATGTATAGAGAGACTCAAGGTCATGTATCCATAAAACAATAAGAAGTTATGAAAAAGCAATAAAATAAACTCATACTCTTGGAGATTAAACATAACTTCAAAATAAAAAAAGTTAATAGATGGATTAAAAGACAAAGTGAAAACTCTCAAAACTTACAGAAAAAGGAAAAGATGAAAAACTTGAGAAAAAACAATAATACAAAAATAAAAGTAGGTCCTAATCAACAATAGACAGTTTAATTAAAAAAAAAAAAAAAAAAAAAAGATGAGGCCAGGCACCGTGGCTCTTGCCTGTAATCACTCTGGAAGGCCAAGGCAGGAGGATCGCTTGAGGTCAGGATTTCAAGACCAGTGTGAGCAAGAGCAAGACCCCCTGTCTCTACTAAAAATAGAAAAAATTAGCCAGGCATGGTGGCATGTGCCTGTAGTCCCAGCTACTTGAGAAGCTGAGGCAGGAGTATTGCTTGAGCCCAGGAGTTTGAGGTTGCTGTGAGATAGGCTGACGCCACAGCACTCTAGGTCAGGTGACACAGCAAGATTCTGTCTCAACCCCCCCCCATTATCAAAGTGATAATGGCCAGAAGTATATAACAGAGCTAAGAAAGAAACAAGTCTTCAGATTCAAAGGTACACATCAAGTGTTCAGCATGATAAACAAATCAATCAAAACAGACACAAACCTAGATACATCCTTGTAAAATTTAAGAACAAAAATGAAGGAAAGATCCTAAAGAACTTTCAGAAAGAAAAAAACATATATCAGAGAAAGCCAAGAATTGGAATGCATTAATCTTCCCACCAGCAAAAATGGATTGTCAAAAATACCCACTAGTCTTCAAAGTTCTAAAGAAAAATTATCTTCAGTCTGTAAGTCTACATCTACCAGACTATCAACAAGACAAAGTACAAAATGAAGTCATTCTCAAAGGTGAAAATTTATGTCTCATGTCTCCTGTCTGTGAAAGTTACTTAAAGATGTACCTCAGAAAAAGGAGTGTGAATTCCAAGAAAGAGGAAGGCATGGAATATAAGAAATAATGGAAACCACCAGTATTCCCATGAAAGAAATCCCAGAGTGAGAGTTGTGTAGAAGGTCTAATATACAATTAAATAAGTGGGTTCTAAGAACAAAGACTTCAAAGATGGAACTGTCAACCTAAGAAAGCTGATCCAAAAAAAAAAAATGGAATAGACTACCAGAATAGCTAGAATGACTAAAAAAGTTGGATTTTATTGCTGATATAATGAAGAAAACGTTTTTACCTAAAAAAAAAAAAAAAAAAAAAAAAGGACGGGGGGAAAAAAACTTTTGGAAACCCCAGAAAAAGGAAAAAAACCCTAAAACCCTACAAAAAATAGTTCATGTATAAAGCAAAGAAAAACATGATAAATTTTGAGTCATTGAAGGGAATACAAGAAAGGAGATTCTATTTAATCAGGACATTAGGCATAGAGACATCACACTGGATCCTTAGGAAATGAAATCCTAGCACAATACTGAGCTTTGCAATAAAGATTACTTATAGTCATAGTAATGTACACTCCATAAAAGTTTTCCACTTTCAGAGTCAATCTTCAGACAAAAGATGTAAGATTTTAAAAATGGTTATTACATAAGAAAATATATTAAGGTTGATAATATAAAAGTACTGTTGACAAGATTGAAAGAGGAAATAGCAAGAAAGAGGAAGAGGGGGAGTGTTAACTTCATCCAGTATTACAGAAAGTCTAAAAGCACTATGTAAAGCTGACTGAGCAAGAAAAGATAGTAGGGGTACATATTTAGGATGGGGAAGGGAAAAAAGGGATAAGCAAGCTCAACTCTTTTTCTTTCATTCATAGTAGAACGTAAATAGATAAGATTCTAAATTGAAAAATATATTTTAAAAAAATCAATGTAAGCAACGTACAGAAAAGATAAAAAGGGAAGCAGGGCTGTAGGAGGAGGTTTAACATAAGCTCTGTATTTTCTTATCTTATATACATATTTGATAAAAATGTTAGAAAAACCTGTTACCATCCCAACCCACCCAAAGGAGAAATATTTTAACAGCTTCATTAGCAAATCAGAATGATTAAAGAACATTTTTGTGGTATACCTGAGATTCTTCAGAGTGATACTGAAAAGATTCCATATTGCCCATAACGGCAGTCCCCAGAACTGACATGAGAGCCATCTTGTGATCCGATACTCTAGTTTTCTGCCAAATAACTGCCTACGGACAAAATGACACAGACAGCTTTTAACACAATTTACATTTACTAAACTGAAGAACCCACAGTATTTTACTTCTTTATTTAGCATTCATTCTCAGCTTAAATTTTCAATATCATTTAGAAGAGTTTCATAGGCTATACAGTCTGACAGAATAAACTCTGCTCCTGAATTTTAGAAGCTGTACAGGTTGCAGTGTACAATGTACTTAATGTCTCTTTACCTCAGTTTTCTCCTCTTTACAAGATGACCATTTCTTTCTTAGAGTTGTTGGAAGATGAAATTACATGATGTAGACAAGCACACAGGCCAGTGCCTGGCATAAAACAATTTCATTAAATATTAATTCTCTTCCCTCTAAATTCTAAACTTCAGAATACATACTTCTGTGTATGTTTAAAATTAAATTGTTACTCCAAGTAAAGTATTACTATTTTATTGAGGATGAACAGCTATGCTATAGGATTTTTGTAAACAGGTATAAAAATTTTTAAAAAAGCATGCTCTTTAAAATCACCTTTTAATTATCTTTTATAGAGAGAGAACTCACAAAACAATAACTAAATCTCATAAACATAAAAGCTGAATAACAAGCTTAGATTTTTTTCACTGCATATATGTAGTATGCTAAATTAAGGGAATCATGGTCCAGAAAGACTGGACCAAAGTTTGGCTGTGAAGTACATAATCAGCTTTAGTATACTGTAATTTTTTTCAGTTAACAAGGTCCAATTATAGTCAAATCCCTTGAGAAATCATCAGTACAAATACAAGTCATTCATTCAACAAATATTCACTCTGTACCTCCTGAATCCTAAGGAAAATGTGCAAGAGGCTGAGGAAAAACATTAATATCAACAATAGTCAAAGTGCAGGCAAAGGAACCAAGAGGAACTAAAAAGGATGGCCACAGAGGTAAGAAGAGCAGCAGGAGAGTGTGGTACACAGAACAAGAAAGTTTTTAAAGAAAGAAGCAATCATGTGTGTTCAATGTCAAGCAAGAGCAAGGTAAGAACAAAGAGATGGCTTCTGGATTTAGCATTCAGGAGGGTGAGAACACTTCCAGCAGTAAATGGAGCCACATTTCAGTTATCTGGATAGTGACTATGGAGAGGATATTTTAAAAAGTGAACCTAGACAGCTCTTTCAGAAAGTCTGGCTGTGAAGTGCAAGCAGATAGGGGAAAAAGTGGAGGCAGGAATACAACATACTTGACCAGGAAGTAGGAAGGGGTACACTAACAAGGAGGTTTACAGACCCAGTGGCTAAAGGGCGGGGAAAGTCCCTCTTTGTATAGCAATGTAGAAAGGTGGTCCTTTGTCAAAAGTGAAGACAGTGATGTAAATATTTAAGGATTGTAGAGAAGATTTAAAATAGCTGTCCCTTGTTGGATACTGGTAAAAAACAAAAAAAAACAATAGAACTGCCAGGGAACACCCAGTAGAGGTGATCTTTCATTGTCTATATTGTTCAGAAAAGTCCAAAATGATAGTACTTGCATCAAAAAAGGGAATTCTCAGTGAACCAGCTGATAAAGCTGAGCAATAAAATTCTGCTTCCCATTCCACATGTGTGAAGTTGCTTTGGGCCATTTTGAGAAGCAATGAAGTTGGTGTACTCCTGGGAGATTCTATAGTTGTCTCTGTAAAGTCTAAAAAAGGCAGAAGTCTTTTAGAAAAGAGTGACAGAGGAGACTGGACCCAAGGATTCTGGCCAAAGGAATTCTTTAACAATAACCAGGAACTAACTAGGAGAAGTACTAATCGTATTATGTATAATAAAACGAAAGGTGAAGTAAACAGAGTGACGTTGTTCCCTAATCGGCACAATGGGAACTGCCGATGTGTTCTCCTGGACAAGGCCGCAATAATTATTGACACTGCTTGCTGATCTGTGTCATCTGCAAACCACATTGTCTTTAGAATCACAAAGAGGAACGTATTTGGGAAAACAGAGATAGTATAACTACTACTTAATAAATATTTAGCGTAATAGTAAGACCTTTTATCTATTCCCAGAGTTTAATTGGTAACAGTCAGATAGGAGCTACAAATTTATGAAGAACTGACTACTTGTTAGGTACCACTGTTTATTTTCACAACCATTTCAGGTAGGTATTATTATCTCGTTTTACAAATGAGGAAACTGAAGCTCAAGGAAATTGATTCGCCCAAAGAAACACAAATAGGTCATAACTTTTACTGAGGACATGCAAAATGGATGTTCTCATTCACAAAATATTCCTATAGGTAACCTGAGGACTGTGTGCAATTCCTGGTACACTAGCTGTAATGCTACTGCTTTCTCTTCCACTTGCAAAGGTTCAGTGGAAGGCAAGTCAGTGAAAGTGACATTTACAGGATTATTGCTCTAGTTTTATTTTATCTTTATTTTTTAGAGATAGGGTCTTGCTACATTGCTCAGGCTGGACTCAAACTCTTGGGCTGTAGTGATCCGCCTGCCTTAGCCTACCGAGTATAATAGCTAGGACTACAGGGGCGGGCCACCATGTCCAGCTTAGTTTTGGTTTTGTTGTAAGATAAACCACTTGCAAACTTTGGTACTTTGTTAACATTAACACACTGTGGCTTGGAATCACTGGGCTAGATAACAGAACCAGCATGCTGGTAAGAGGGAAAGAGAAGCCAGGGACAGACTAAAAGGATATGAAATAGACTTGATGTGACTTTGTAACCTTCCGGATGTGAAGAATCACAAATGTGATTCTTATCCAGATAAACTCAGAAGAGGTTTGGTGGCAGGAAGGGGATGAGTTCAGCTTGTTCAATGTTGCGTCCCTGGTACCAAGAACAGTATCAGACACCCAGTAAGGCCCATTAAACATTTATTAAAGTAATAAGCAAACAAATACATTTTTCTGGGGAAAAACAACCCCCATAGAGTTAAAAACTAGCTCTTTGTTTTTAAAGACTAAGACTGATGGTTGTCATGCCACTACATATGTTAAAAATTATAGTCTTTCTCTACTACTTTACTTTAGGAAACTCAAAACAATCTTTGCTTTTCTTTCTTTTTAATATAATAGTTTTTATCTTGGCTGGGGTAGGAAAAAATAATAACAGTTTTATTGAGGTATAATTCATACACCATACAATTCATCCATTTTAAGTTTACAATTCAATGGTTTTTAGTATATTTACAGAGCCGTGCAACCACCAGCACAATCTAACCTCCGAACAATTTTATCACTCCAAAAAGAAATCCCATACCTATTAGTAGTGACTCCTCATTCCCCTGCAATCATTAATCTACTTTCTCTCCTATTAATATAAAGTTTGCCCACTTTGGGTATTTCATCTAAATGAAATCATACAATACAGTCTTTTGTAACTAGCTTCTTTCACCCAGCATCAGATTTTCAAGGTTTATTCATATTTTATCAGTACTTCATTTTTTTTAACCTTTTTTTTTTTTTTTGGAGGCAGAGTTTTGCTCTGTCACCCAGGTTAGAATGCAGTGGTGTCATCATAGCTCACTGCAACCTCAAACTCCTGGGCTCAAGTGATCTTCCTGCCTCAGCCTCCCAAGTAGCTGGGACTATAGGTGCATACCACCACAACTGGCTAATTTTGTTTTTTGTTTTTTTTTTTTGTAGAGACAAGGTCTCACTATGGTGCTCAGGCTAGTCTGGAACTCCTGGCCCCAAGCAATCCTCCTGCCTTGGCCTCCCAAATGCTGAACTTACAGGAACTCATAGGTGTGAGCCATTGCGCCCACCTCTCGTTCCTTTTAAATGGCTAAGATATACATGTATAGACATACATTTGAGTTATCCTTTCATCAGCTGATGGACATTTTTGTTTCCACTTTTTGTCTACTATGAATGATGCTGCTATAAATAATCACATACAAGTTTTTGTGTGAACATTAAGTTTTCATTTCTATTGGATAAATACCTAGGAGTGGAACTACTGGGTCACATGGTAACTCTGTTTAATTTTTTTAAGGAACTGCCTGACTATAGTCTTTGTGTGCCTATGCACTTAAGCCTGTAAAAGAAGGCAAAGAAATGCTGGCTTCTGCTATTATAGCCATTGTTTTAAGCAAACCAATAGCTAGTGATTTCAGGAACAATATTCAAAATAACAAAGTATATAAGGTTCTGAATAATCTGCAACTATATGGGAATGAAATGTCCCCTCCTTCATACTTCCCATCAGAAGTTCCTTACAATGAGGAATAGTTAAGCAATAAAAATTTATTCATAAATTGTACCTCTTTAAAGCAATACTAGCTCTCTGATATTGACACATATCTAAAATAAGGCAGTAAAAAAAAAAAACTTTTAAAATTCCTGTACTGAATATAGTTATAAAGCCTGTGATATCACTAATGTAAACAATATTGTTTATTTTAGTTTATATTAGAGTGATGCCTTAGTTACAGATATAAATCTTAGTTGCTGATTAACGCAAGGATGCTATTTCACTGCCTGACCTGCTGAGTAGTTAGTAGATCACTTCAGGAAATGGGTTCTAGAAAAGCTGTGAAACCTGAGAACTATGCAATGTGATTTTATTTCAAAGTAAACACTGCTAAGAGTCTGGGAGCATTATTTCACACTAGGCAATTATTGCATCAGATCAAGGGGGCTAATTTATGAGCATTTTCTAAACTAGTTACACTTGTGCTAACAATAAATGATAAAAAGGTCTGCCAACAAGTAAAATCTTCACTATTAGGCAATTAGGACTCATTTGCAAAACAAGATTCATCATCAAAGAACTAAACTATAAAAAGTGATGAAATTGGGAATCCAGAAGAAACTGAATTGTTTAATTACATTTTCTTTAGAAAATAGCTTTTAGTTTGCTTTCTCCATCATTTCATTAATTCTATATTATTTTCAAAAACAGGTTTTCTTTTCACTTGAAGTTTTTCATAAATCTTGCTCTTAGGCCAAAAGCTTAACATGTGCTAAAAATACACACAAACCTCCATATGTTTTCTATCTAGGTCACACAAAGTTGGAGCATCTAG